ATTAACATTATCACTTATTAGTATCTCTGTGTGTGTGTGTTTAACGCAACTTTTCTCTCCGATTCTTCCGACAGCTGCAACTGCAAAACAGGCGTTTGATAGGTCGATCTGTGAAAATTCGTTCTTCCGTTCAAAGGCGCGAAAACATCTTCGGGCATAGGTAAGGGGTAATCGAACGACTGTAATACCCCGTTCAGGCCTCTTGAGGAATCAGAGCATACTCTAAAGTTCCCATTTTGCTTCTTGACGGAAACAATGGCTGCGCTGTGATTTACTGGTGTGATGCCTCCCATTTATTGGTTGCTATTCAACTCAGCATTCACTGCTACCAAAACTGCGTGAGGGAGCGGTCACTGGGCAGAATACGGGGCGCACATTTGGTATTAGTTGTAAGGTGACTTCTTCCTTGGTGCAACGTCCCAAGCCTTCTTCAAAAACTCCCGGATAAGAATTCCTCAGTGGTTCCTCCACGTCGGATTTTGGTGCCAGCTTCACCTCCTTATCATCATACGCATGGGTTAGCCCACTTCTTCATTTCTTCAAGTCCATTCAAGGCCTATAAGCGAAGTATACCGCGCCACATAAGCGTAGCCTTCTGTTTTTATGCCTTTCATTTCAATCTTGCAACTCAGCTTGCCGTATACGTTCATCTGGTCTCCACTATCATTCTTCACTAGGACATTAGTCTTCTCCAAAGTTGGAGACACCATCTCCTTCCACGACTTCTCATTCAGATCCCGTGTCAAGTAGGAACTTACCGACACAGTTGTTCACGACTACGTTGACGTACATGCGATGGGGACTCGCTTCCTTGAGGCTCGAAAAACTTTCGCACTCTGTGCAGCTCATGTAAGGACACTGTTTTGCCTACTTTGTGTTCTCCGTCCAAGAGTGCGATCAACCTCTGCATAACCTCAGCTTCTTTTTGCGATTTCAAGCCAAAAATCAGAGCAAACATTTGATTCTCTCCTCACCCAGCTCGTGACTCTTTGCTTTTTCGCAGAACTCGTTTATTCGACCGGTATGCGTGAGGAATTCTTCAGCATCTTTTTTCTTCCATTTTAGGCGCTGATATCGTGTAGTAAACAACGATGCCTTGCAATCGGACAGCTGCCTCAGTATTTCCACAGTTTTTCCGAATCCAATATGAGACAAATCCCTAGGCAGCACGTGCCGTTCGTACTTTTCGAAAGAAACGGTGTCCAAATTTTCTCACGGTAGTCTGACTTTGGCGCATTCTGTGAGCTGCTTTGCGTCCCCGAAAACGTCTCCTTTCGCGTTAACCATTTGTAAAAGCACATATCAGCATCGGGATCGAATTCAAACNNNNTTCATATCCTATTGCTGAGTGCTGTCATCGGGTTCGGAAGGAAATGCTCTACCGAATGGCCATCACCTTCTCCACTTTGTGGAGTACGGTCCATAAGCTTTGCAATGTTGTCTTTAACGGTCTGTGATGTGATGCTCCTTTGCTCATCTATCAACTGCTTAACCATCAATAGGGCTGCGTTTGGATCCACTGCCACACTTAGCGGTCCTCCTAAAGGTTGGATCCCTTCAAAGACAAAGACAACTAGGAACAGAGCAGGCAAAAAAAAGTTCTTCCGAATATGTGGGTCTAGTCCCACTATTGACTTCCGACTTGTCCAGGAAAAGTCAAACGTTAAAAGGTGAGAAACTTATCCTATTCAGTTTTCTTCTGATTTGCGCGTCGAATAGATATACATATATACGGGATGTAGCCTCCGCCCGATATATAATACATATAGAGCAGGATACAAAACTCTTTTGTATTTCTTTAGCGAAGTGCAAGTGTGCTGGATCAAGTGTTCTTCTACTTCTATCAAGTGTACTTCTTGATCGCCACTGTAATGTCCTTGTCTGACACAGCCGAAGTATTGAGATGTTTATTGGAAACTGTAGGCCACGTCGAAATAAGAGTGGATTTAACCCTCTCCGCCGATGCTTTCATAGTCGGTAGTGAAACAATAAGTGAGGATCACCGGCCCAACTAATGGTTAATCATTCGCAACAATAACAAGTGATAACAAGTGGCACTAAATGATAATAAATGATAATAAGAAATATTAAATGATAACAATCGATAATAAATTGTAACGGGGGATAGTAAGTAATGGTAAACGATAACAAAAGATAACAGTGATAATAGATGGTAGTGAATGATAACAGGTGATAACAAGAGATAATAAGTTGTGACAAATGATGACAAGTGATACTAAATGGCAGCAAAGCGTAATTAATGATAACAGGTGATAATAAATAATAATAAATGATAATAAATGTTAATAAATGATAGCAATTGATAACAAACAATAATAATTGATAATAAATGATAACAAAAGATAATAAATGATAGATAGTAAGTAAGAATAAATGGATAATAAATAATAAAAAGTAATAATAAATAATAATAGTAATAATAGATAATATATTCCATTCGTCTACACTACCCGCGGACGGTTGGTTTCCTGCCAACGATGACTTCGCCGTCAAACCCACCCAGCAGTAGCGATTCCCGTGCAAGAACCTTCATGAAGATAGCCACCGTGAACGTCCGAGGACTATGCTCTTAACAGAAACTCGCGGATTTCGAAGCCAATATTAGGAACGTGAGATTTGCTGTAATTGGACTTGCTGAAACTCGAAGACCGAACCCTGAGTGCACTCAA